GGGCGTATTCCCCTGCTGGCTGGGGAGGTAAAGACCCAGGCTATGGTGGGTGGGGGACGGGGGCTGATGGAAATTCGATGGTGGGCTTAGGGCAGGACGCTGGGGCCTGAGGGTGGCAAGCAGGCAGCTAGGTGTCCCAGGGCAGAAGGGACTGGACCTCCGGAGTGACAGGTTGGAGGGCAGTCGGGGAAGCAAGGCCGTTTCCTGAGTGTGAACTCTGATGACTCAGTGGATGGTCGTGGTCGGGGAAGAGGGCTGATCAGGTTTATCTAGGACTGCGTGAGAGAGACCTGCGTGCCAGTGCCTGTCCATAAAGGCCCCGAGTACCTGGCTGCCCCACAGGGGCATTACCCTATGGCACTAGGGAGCCAAAGGCGGCACTGGAGCAGAACTGGACTTGGCATCCTCACTAGCTCCTCTTCTCCCTCAGTACCTCGTTCGCTGCTCCGACATTCCCAAGCTGCCCTCGGTCTCCTTCCTCCTTGGCGGGGTCTGGTTTAACCTCACCGCCCAGGACTACGTCATCCAGGTAAGTGGCTGTCACAGTGATGTCCGAGTGACATAAGGTGACCAGACTTGCGTGGGTGGGCCGGGATGTGACATCATAACAGAGTTGGCCATGAGAAACATTTCTCCCGGGGGCGCGGGCGGGAAGAAGCAAGGCTCCCAGGAACAGGCAGGCCCGGTGGGCTTGTCACCCGATGATCCTGTCTTGTCGCCTTAGGTTGCTCGGGCTGGCGTCCACCTCTGTCTGTCCGGCTTCCAGGCCTTGGATATGCCTCCGCCTGTAGGGCCCCTGTGGATCCTTGGCGACGTCTTCTTGGGGACCTACGTGACGGTCTTCGATCGCGGAGACACTAACAGTGGTGCCCGAGTGGGCCTGGCGCGCGCTAGACCTCGTGGGGCCGGGGGGCGAGGGGGCGGGCGCGCGCAGGCGCAGTCCTCCGGCTGACGCCCCGGTTGGGTGCATGCGCAGTGGGTGGTAGCGGTGGTCCCAATACCCAGTAAAAATCTGTATCTTTTGAGCGAAGGTACCTGGGCCGCGCCTTGCAAATGCATGCTTCTGTAGAGAACTATGTGTCCGGACCTCCGCAATTGAAGCAAAAAGGGAGAAGGGTGTTACCTTTTCATTAGGGTTCATTCTGGTGACGGAGCGAGGGCTACCTGCCTCCGTCCCCTCGCTCCGCTTCCCCTCCTCCTCCTCTGTCGCCCCCGACAAGTCGCCGCTACTCGAGTCCTCTCAAAAGTAACTTCGCCACTTCTTCCGGCAACCCCGCCATGCGTCACTTTCGGAAAGGTGCGTGGAGCGAACGGGGATGCACTTCCGGTCCGTTGGGGACCCACCAAATCCGTTGCCCCGCACGGAAGTCCCGTCCTCCCCGGAATTGTGTTCCGCCGGGGCGCTCCCGGGGGCCGGTAGCAGAGTTCCGGGCCGCACGGTGGACGCCGGCCTGGAGGGGGCATGGCCGCCCCCGCCTCCCGCGCGCCTGCCGGCCCCCCCCGGCTGTGGCTGCTTTTCGCCGGCTTCAACCGAGGTCGCCGCTTCTGCTGTTACAAATTTTCTGGGTTTGGCGTCTCACTACTTATTGGTTTTAATTCAGTTAAATTATCAATCTGGATCCAGAAGGTGTATTTTGGTTACTGGAAAGAATTACAAATAAAACCCCCTAGTCTCCCACTATCAAAAAGGTAAAATATACCAGAATGCTTGAATAGAAGATGAAAATTGTTCCAGAGTTTCCCTTGGAGAGGATAAACGGACCTCACCATATCTGTATATGTATACTTTCATTTAATCAATTACTTATTTCACTTTCACCAGAGAGGGTCAGAGTGAGAGAGAGGGAAAGCGAGAAAGCAAGCTGTCAGGTCCAGGACTCGAACCATGGTTAGCCATGTATGAGTCCAGCACCCTTAACCACCACACCACATGTCGGCCCTGAATACTTTTTTTTTTTAGATTATTTAATTTAATTTTATTTATGTATTCATTCATTTTAATTTGATGAGAGAGGGATAATGAGAGAAAGTAAGAAAGCAAGCCTCCAGGACTTGAGCCCTTAACTACCACACCACCTGTTGGCCTCTCTGCATACTTTGTTTTTTTAAAGGGGACTCTATGAGCCAACAGATGGTATTGGAGTTACATCACTAGACTCACAAATGGCTGATGTGATCGTGGTTCGAGTTGCAGACCAGTAGCTTGAAAATCACACCAGGGAGACCAGCAGATGTTGTAATGCTTCCGTTGCTTGCCTTCCATGTTGAAGCCTGCAGTTGCAGTCCCAGACTCCGCGGCTTAAAACACTCAGGGTGCTTGGGATGCAGGCCCAAGATTCTACAAGGACAATGGAGGAGAAAGGATTGAGGCATGGCCGTCACCCAAGGAGGTGATTTCTCCCTTTGTCTCTCTCTCTCTCTGTCTCTGTGGTGAGTGCACATGCCGTATAGCAAAAATCTCCCTCTCTAAAAAAAGAAAAAATTATGCCAGGTGAGTGATTGTGCCCAAGATCCCAGGAGGAAAATGGAGGTGAAGGCACTGTGGCGGCCATCCCCCTGGGTGATTTCTCACTTTGCCTCTCACTGTCACTGTCTCTGTCTCCAGCAACTGCACTTGCCCTAAGGCAAACACCTCTTAAAAGAAAAAGGAAGGGGGGTATATGACCCGCGCTCTTCTCTAACTCGTTTCATCCACCCCCGTCCAGCCTTTGAGGCCACAGAGTTTCACACACACACACACACACACACACACACACACACACACACCTCCACCCAGCCTCAGCGGGATCTGTGGGCTGGGCAAGGAGCATGGCCCCCACCACCCGTCCTTCTGAGCAGATTAAGTAAACACTTGAACCTGGCCAGCTTGGGACCGCGGTGATCATGGGGTGCTCAAGCAATGCTGGACCTGTGTGGAAGACTGCTGGTTCGGTTCCCCTGTACACCTGTACACACTGGGTACACACCCTTGATCCTGGCTGACTAGAAAGGCTGGGGTGACTTGTGCTGGGACCCCGTCGGGGGTGCTCTTTCTCTGGCTCTCATTGTCATTGAAAAAAAAAAAAAGGCGAAATTAAAAAAGAGCTTGAGAGCCAGCCCCCTGTCCTAGTGCTAAAGGAAGCCAAAATCTACGTGGCTGACCGTGTGGTTCAAATCTTGACCCCCGGGGACTAGCAGTTGGCATAATGGCTATGTCACTGGACTCCCATATAGTCGACTGCAGTTCAATTCCTGGAGCCGGTGGCTTAAAACTCACGCCGGGCGCGTGTGCGTGCGTGCCCAAGATCCCGAGAGGAGAATGGAGGAGAAGGGATTGCGGCGCGGCCATCCCCCCTGGGGGGTGATTTCTCACTTTCTGTCTCTGTCTTTCTGGTGAGCGCATGTGCCCTATAGCAAAAAACTCTCAAAAAAAAAAAAAAAAACCCACAAAACAAAAACTCAATCCCCGCAGTTTAAAAAGCATGCCAGGCACATGTGCACCCACACTGTTGGTCCCAGTGGGATGGGGAGATGAAGAAGGAAGTATTAGATGCGACCAAGCCCCTTAGGGTACCCCCCAGTGCACGTGCCCTCTGGCAAATTCTCTTTGGAAGGCATGGCCAGGCTGCCCGCATTACAACCTGTGCCAGCGCGTCACTAGCTCCGTGCTCCGTAACCCCCTGCTGAAGGCTGTCCCACACTCCACCCACCGCTCACCTGCTGACGGCCACCTGGGGGACCCGCCCTTGGCAGTGACGCTGCGATGGACATTGAGCGCAGGGGTTGTGCAGACCGTGCTCCCATTTCTCTGGAGTATGTACCTTGCAGCGGATTGTTGTAATCTTTTATTTATTACTTTTTTTTTTTATAATTTTCTGCTATAGAGCACACGTGCTCATCAGAGAGAAACAGTGAGAGGGAAAGTGAGAAATCACCCCTCAGGGCAGCCACGCTGCAATCCCTTCTCTGTTCTCTCAGGATCTGGGGCGTGCACACATACCCAGCATGATTTTACTTTTAGAGGTTTTTGCCTTAGGGCACGAGCAGTCACAGGAGAAAGAGAGACAGTGAGAGGGAAAATGAGAAATCGCCCCACCCTGGGGGGGATGGCCATGGCACAGTCACTCCTCCATTCTCCCAGGATCTTGGGCACGCCCAAACACATGCCTGGCATGAATTTCAACCGGGTCATGGGCTCTGCGGTTGGCCATGTAGGAGTCCCACAATGTAACCACTACACCATGTGCTGGGCCCCAGCATGTTTTTGAAACCTCCATGTTTGGGACTTAAACTATGAAGTCAGCCATGTGGAATCCAGTGCCATAACCAACACACCACCTCTGGCCCAACCGTTTTTTGTTTTTGTAATTATTTATTTTATTTTATTTATTCATTCATTTATTTTAATTTGACCAGAGAGAGAGAGAGAGAGAAAGCAATTAAGCCACTAGGTCTAGGACTCGAACCGGGGTTGTCCATGTGGGAGTGTCCAGCACCTTAAGCATCATGCTACCTGCTGCCCTCCACCATTTTTTCCCACCATTTCTTAAAATTATTTTATTTGACTTTACTTATTTATTATTTATATTTGACCAGAGAGGGACAGAGTGAGAGAAAGAGAGAGCACAAGCCACCAGGTTCAGGACTTGAACCGTGGTCAGCCATGTGGGAGTCCAGCACCCTTAACCACCATGCCACCTACCAACCCCTTCCACCATTTTTTTAAGAAGGATTTTTCCTATAGTGTGGATGCACTTGCCAGAGAGAGAGAGAGACAAAAAGTGAAAAATCACCTCTCAAGGGGGATGGCCACACCACAATCCCTTGTCTTCCATCCTTTTTGTGATCTTGGGCACGCACACACACCCAGCTTGAGTTTAACCACTGGGTCCGGGACTCAGACCACAGTTGACTACGTAGGAGTCCAGCCACATAACCATTATGCCATCTGGTAGTCCCGAAAGAGAACTCTTTTTTTTTTTTTTAAAGAGGTTTTTGCTATAGGGCGCATGCACTCACCGGAAAGACAACAGAAACAGACAGACAGAAAGCGAGAAATCACCCCCCAGGGAGTATGACCACACCACAATCCCTTCTCCTCCATTCTCCTCTTGGGATCTTGGGCATGCATGCACACACGCCCAGCGTGAATTTAAGCCACTGGGTCCAGGACTCGAACCGTGGTCGACTACATGGCAGTCCAGTGACATAGCCATTATGCCAACTGCTGGTCTCCCAAAAGGGAACTCTTTTTTTTTTTTTGGAGAGATTTTCGCTATAGGGCGCATGTGCTCGTCAGAGAGACAGAGAGAGACATAGAGACAGAAAGCGAGAAATCACCCCCCATGGGGGATGGTCGCACTGCAATCCCTTCTCCTCCATTCTCCTCTCGGGATCTTGGGCACACACGCACACGCGCCCGGCGTGAGTTTTATGACACCGGGTCCGGGACGTGAACCACGGTCGACTACGTGGGAGTCAGCGACATAGCCATTATTCTAACTGCTGGTTCCCCCCAAAAGGGAACTCTTGATAGAGGCTCATCAAGCCATCAGCATCTCAGGATCTCGGAAATCTGGACACCTTCCCATGAGACCTGTGAGTTTTCAGACTGACCAGAAATCCAAAACTCCAGCTGGCCATGTGGCTCCCCACATGCTAACCCACACCCTATTGGCTGTGCCTATATTTAACCTTTGGAGGAACTGCCAGACTCTACACACCATTTTTCATGCCCACCATTCTCCACTTCCAATCCTAAAGCCCTGGGGCCAGATGTCACACCAGCTTAGCAGGCACCAGGACCTCAGACACACAGCTGGACTACATTTCCCAGCAGCCCTTGCAGGCAGGTCGCTCACGTGCCTGAGTTCCAGTCAATGGAACCAGGAGCAAAAGTTATGCTGTCTGTGAGCAAAAGCCAGAGTCTGGGTGATTCCTGCATGTCTAGAGGTTGAAGACCCAAGTTCGAATCCCCATCAAGTGCAGCTGGGCTGCTCTCCTCCCTTCGTGGCACCCCAGTGCCTTTGCTCCCTCTCACCCCATAAAACGTGGACAGTAGTCCCTCTCTCAGGAGGTTAGACAATGAAATGAA